TATATAAATTGATATATATGCACTCACAGACTAGAAGTAATCGGCATTACATAAAAAGTGTCAGTACTGCAGCTTTGCACACATTACATCTTCACGTTCACAAGCATGAATTAACTTAAATCCCAAGGTTTTCCTAAAATTATAGCGACAGCTAAATACGACGGTGCTCGCGATCCATATTATAATTAAAACATGAAGTGACAGAGGTTATTAATCATTTGCCTATCAAAGTACAATGTACAATATTGATCTCGATCCTAACTGAGAAATATTTTTAACTCGCAAAGCGTACACTGATCCCTGTTCCCGGAACAGAGAATCAAAATGCTTAAGGAAAATGTTTAGATGCTTCCCTCGCACTCGTATGATCTTAATATGCAGTTGCGAGCGCCGTAAAACACGACTTACTAAAACTGCTCAAGACTACCTGGTTGATAATTTTAAAAAAGGCTCTCGCACCCTCTCAACCTTTAGATAGAAGAAAGTTCACTAACGGCCATTCAGGCATTTAATAAGTCTCCACAATAATATACATATCTATAAAACAAAAAGGCAGACACATATTTTAGAGATCTAGAAACCTCTTCAACCCCATCCGTACGTCTTGTTTTACTATCGTATCCATACGACGTGGGGAACCCTGTGCCGCCACTTTCCAAAGAGGAAATTTACTTGTTAATCTAATCCGTACGCTTTGCATAGCAGTTTGTTAAAATGATTTTTTAAAAAAAGAAATATTGAAAGTTTCAAAGAGACCTACGTTGTAGAAGTATTCTAAAATGTGAAGAACACAACCCTGGGGGGTACAGAATGACCCCAGGGCGTACGGATAGGGTTTTTAAGTGTTAGATCTAGCCTATACACGCACATAAGCTCAGTATCGGCACTTATATGTCCTTATTGTGTTGCAAGAGCCGTAAAACTCTTACTAAAACAAAAACTCTAACTAAAACTAAACTATAAAGCTCAGTACAGTACCTCAGAGTGCGAGGAAAGGCGCTATCCTCTCATTTCCTTCAACGAGTTCTTGGCCTCCCTTCATTCACCACTGCCACACTGCCACACTGCCACACTGCCAGGCACACGAATGACACAACTCGACGATAGTGACACACACAGACAGGGTGGTGGGTTGAGAGTGACACAGGGTCGTGTGGCAAACTTAACCACCTGTGTGTGGGAGCGGGGACGACTTGGCGAGCGAACACACACTGTCGTCAGTGACTTGTTTCCTGGAAAGACAGCAAGCACATTCTTAATGGGTAGATCTAGATCTAGGCAGGCCACCACGGTAACATCGGATTTTTCAGAAATGAAAGGGACAACGAGGAACGTCAAGACGAATGAAGAATACGGCTGTTTTTGTTTACCCGAATTCTGTTTGTCAGTGAATGCATACTGCATATAATATAATATTTTGACTGTGTGCCAAATTTGGTGTTTCGTCAGCTTGAGTAAGGTTTATTGGCAAAACATTTTTTTTTCCTTTTAGAATGTCTGTCTGTCTGTCTGTCCGTCTGTCTGTCTGTCTCAACTTTTGAAGAACACGAATAGATCCACATGAGAGTATTGCCTGGTGCCTGGGTGGTACCACGTAACCCCCCCCCCCCCAAAAAAAAAGAAAGAAAGAACAAGAAAAAAGAGAAGGAAAAAAACCCAGAAACAAAATCGACAAAAATCCTACCCAGAATTGGTCAAAGTAAAAACAACAACGAAAAAAAACAAAACAAAGAGCCACCGCCACCGAATCAATACCTCTTTTCAACCGCCTTTTTATTCATTCGCTCTCCTTTTTTTTTTTCTTTTAGATTTAAATCCCTGAGATTGCCAGCCCACAAACTATTATATCTACGTCGTCGTGAATAGGCCTACAGTACATCCAGGCTCTCTGGATCTAAAGAAGCCAAAGCCCAAAGCCTGCGTGCGTATGTTTCTCGAAACCACTGAAGCGTGAAGAGAGGTGACAACGTCATCGAGGACAGGGAAACAAATTGCAAAACCAAAACTGCAACACTTTTGGTGAATCCAAATAAAAAAAATTAAAAAATTATAGATCTAGATCTAATAATAAAGACCCCCCC